GAACTTTAATGAATGTGGATTTTCTCTCTATCCTGGGAACTTAGTTTGAATACTAAACAAAAGTGTAGTTATGTCTGAGTATCGTAAAACACTCTACAGTACAATACTCTATTTGTTTTATTTTACTATCTGTTATTTTTATACACTTTTCTAAGGTGCACCTTGTGTGACCACTTCTACTATAACCAATAAAGGGATTTTCTATTCTATTCTTTTCTAACTTTTCAATCGTTCCCTCCTTGTTGAGTGTCCTTTGGAAATCTGTCCAGTTAGCAGTTGATGGCTATATTTGATAGTTCCTGTTATGGGTTTTGACATTTTATTTTCCAACTGCACTCTCTCCTTGAGAGGAGACAAAACCAAACAGCAGGGCCAGTTGTGTTTCTATGAAAATAATGCACTGTGTCATCAACATGGAGGTTGAGAGTTGCTTGAATAACATTCTGATCCATAACACTTATTAGAATACAAAGTGTATAGAAAGTGTTTTTTTTAAATATATACACTGTAAAGTGTTCTAAACCAATGAAGATCTTTGAGTAACACCTTTCCTGGAAAAATATAAAGGAAAGAGACCACTAGGAAAAAGACACTATCCAACAGCCTATTTAGTTTTAACAGAAAAATAAAACCGGTGTTCATGCTCATGTTTGTCCTGTTTTTTTTTTTTTGTTTTTTTTAAATATGTGTCTAGTTTTTTTTTTTTTTTTTTTAGCTAAAATCATTTGCAAGTTCACTGCAAGTCAAAATTTGCAGAATATCGAACTAAAAGCTGTTTGTTTCTTATTTTTTGCAAGAATTTGTGGTGGCAAAGGCAGAATAATCTCCATACAATGTGAAACTTAAAGACTACGGTGCCTACATTTGCTCAATTAAACATGTGTATCAAATCATCTGGATCCACTCCTTTGTGTATGATTAACTTTGACTGGTCATGTCAATAAAATATAAAAGCAACAGATCTTTTCCTTTTTCATTCCAGCCCATTTTCAATGTAATGATTAACTGCTTTGCTTTGGGTGTGCACTTGGTCACAGTTCAAATACAAACCTTCACAGAACTGTATGTTATATAATGTTGACTAAACCCTTTTTTTTAGAATATATTTGGAGGGAAGGTTAGAGGTTTGAGAATTTACAAATAATGGTTAAGATACACGTAGTCCAGCACATCCCAATCCTTTTGCTGATTTCTGTTTTCTTTCTTTAGTAATCACTGAAAAAAAGTTGAGTTGTGAAGAAATATTTGGGTTTTTTGTTTTCATCTGCTGTTGCAATTATCTATGAACCATTTTTAGGTATATTCCATTTAATTGCTATCAAGAAAAGTTGTTTTTTATAACACAAGTAGAGACATTTAGGTCATGATAATTCGTATATACCTTCCTGCAAATATTATGCATCTCGAAAATGTAGAATGTGATGTCACAGGAGGCTTTCTGAGTAAAGCTGAACATTCAAAGCTGATTCATCATCAAGTAGATGAGCAGCTGCAGAGCAGAGAATGTTTGTCAGGCAGAGTTTGAGTTGTTTGACTGTAGAGACCAAAGGTCTATACAGTTTGATCAGAGCAGAAAAGCACAGCAACAACATTAGAATAACAAGGAAGAGAGTCAGGGATAAGATATAATGATATAGATCAGCCTTTTTAAATGTTTTATATAAAAATGTAAAAATGGAGCCAGAGGTCCATGCTTGCGATAAGAACACAGTGCCAATCAGCCTCGGCAGATGGCCACTCACACCGAGCCTGGTTCTGCTGGAGGTTTCTTCCTTTTAAAAGGGAGTTTTTCCTCTCAACTGTCGCTACAAGCATGCTTAGTGTGAGGGATTGTATTTGAGTCAACGAGTCAATGCAATCAACTGGATAGAAAACTTTGAATCAATTTGAGTGGATGATCTGGTGAACTGTAAAGTGCCTTGATATGACATGTGTTGTGAATTGGCGCTATATAAATAAACTGAATTGAATTGAGATAGAATGAAGCAGAATGATGAAATGGGGGTCCCTATGTCCACCAAAAGTCTAATCCTATAGCAGCATAACTATAGAGATAGCTCAGGATAACCTGAGCCACTCTAACTATAAGCTTTATCAAAAAGGAAAATTTTAAGCCTAGCCTTAAAAGTAGACAGGGTGTCTAAAACTGGTAGTTGGTTCCACAGGAGAGGAGCCTGATAACTAAAAGATCTGCCTCCCATTCTGCTTTTAGAAATTCTAGGAACCACTAGTAAACCTGCAGATTGAGAGCGAAGTGCTCTGTTAGGAACATAAGGAACAATAATATCTCTGATACAAGATGGAGCTTGGCCATTTAAGGCTTTATATGTGAGAAGGAGGATTTTAAATTCTATTCTGGATTTAATAAGAAGCCAAGAGAGAAACCAGGAGAGGAGAGATGTGATCTCTCTTTTTAATTTCCATCAGAACTCTGGCTGCAGCATTTTGGATCAGCTGAAGGCTTTTAACTACAGTTTGTGGACTTCCTGATAGTAAAGAATTACAATAGTCCAGCCTTGAAGTAACAAATGCATGGACTAGTTTCTCAGCATCACCCCTGGACAGGAGATTTCTAATTTTTGCAATACTTCGCAGATGAAAGAAGGAAATTCTAGAAACCTCTTTAATATGGGATTTAAATGACAGGTCCTGATAAAAAACAACATCAAGATGTTTTACTTTATCTGAAATCAGTTTAATCCCATCCAAATGAAGAGACTGACTAATCAGTTTCTTTTTCAAAGACTCTGGTCCAAAGACTATAACTTCTGTTCTGTCTGCATTCAGAAGCAGAAAGTTAAGAGTCATCCAGGTTTTTATCTCTTGAAGACATAAAAACACGACATGTTCTGAAGATAACACGTTCTGAAGTGCTACTATATAAATAAACTAAACTAGATTGAACTGAAAGTTCCTGGTGACACTGGTGTTAGTGAGGTAGCTTTGCATTTGCAGAAATCTACCACCAGCTTCTTGGTATCTGCTGATTTGACCAGAAAAGGTTCTGCTGGAACCTGTCTGCAGTCCTGGGTCCACTGTCTGTACTATGAATCATCCTCACCTGTGAAAAGGCCAACTTAGACAGAGATTTCTGAGAGTGTAATCATCATAAAAAATTATTAAACCATATTAAAAAATCAAAAATAAATACTGTGTGAAATTCTTCTGTGACTATATTATTTACTTCATCAGAATGATAAATGTGTGTAATTGCAATGTTCCCATCACATTTCTCCCCTTCAGATGGACAACATGTTCATACGTTGTAAGATTAGACAAAACTGGGCATTTTCTTTAAGTTAAAAAAAAACACAAATACTCAGATATGTTTCAGGTGTGTTTATTACATTCCGGAAACCTTTATAGCACAGACCTGGTTTCATGTGCATTATAGATATAAAAAATATAAAAACAAAAAAAACCCTGTATATTACAATCAACAGTATGCAGACATTGCTTCTTTCAATAATGTACATGTAATGGTTTTTATGAGATTGATATCACTCAAAAACATAGTTATTAGTATGAGGAACAGAGACGGCCAGGAAATAGAAAACATAGCAAACCCAATTCATAGCTTCCATACAATACAGATTATGATTAAATTAAACAATATTGGAAAAAGATAATAGTTTGGAACCCATATTATGTTGGTGATGCTTGACATACTCTACTGTAATATTTAGACTGACAATTTCCCAGTTTAAACTTGGATAGTTTTATATTTTGTCCGTAGCAAAGCATAGAGCTGCTCTGTTGTTAGACATTGCTCTGATAATAGTTAAGGATCTCAGCAAGTAGCAACAAACAGACACGATAGATGGATACCAAATGTCAAAACGAAGTCCATAAAAACATGTCAGCATGAATATCAGGTAGAATATAAAGATTCAATCCTTCACACCGCTGTATGAATATTCTTTTTTATTTTTGTTTGTTTTTAATGTTCATATTTGGGAGACTATGTTTTACAGTGATTCTACAGTGATTTATTAATCATTTTTACAGAAATGAAACAGCTTTGGTCATTCTATTCAAATATTGTTAGCTTATGGCTTTTGCATACCCCACCTACCTATACATTTGTTCTTGTTGGTGTTGTGCTTTTATGTTCAATGCCCATCCAGGTAGGATGCCACATTAATGTTGGGATTTTATATTCTATTCTGTTCCCAGTCAGCTGGGAATTTATATTTCTGATACTTTAAAATGCTTACTGCCCTCTCCGGTAGGGGTGGTAAAATATTTTATTTAATCAGATATTATTTCGGGTGTTATATATAGTTTATGAACACACACCCTACTAACTGTGTGTTAGAACAACAGATGATAGAGTGATTCGAGCACTAATCATGCTTAAACAGTTAATTCTGCACATACATGGAATAAATTCACCACAACTTCTGTTCAAAATATAAAAGTTTATTAACAAAAATCATTCAGCTCCAAGTCGAACATATTTCAGTTTAAAACTCTTAAGACTAGGGAGACTTAACTAAACTAAACTACTATGTACAAAGAAGAAGGGGAACATGCTTAAAAATCATATCACAGTTTAAGGTGGATTATGAGTTTACAAGCACAGTTTATCAGGAAGACTGGAATATGATCAAATTAGCTTTCAGTAATTTAAAGAAATCGGAATGTTTTCAGACCAATTCACAATGTATATCCATGAGGTTAAAAACATTATTTGGCCAAACAATGTTTTATTGAATGATTTGCTTAATCAAGAACCAATAACCTTTAGTCAATGATCCTTTACCCTCTTTGAAATAGCTAGCAGCGAATAGACATCAGGATTCCACTAAATGACTCTTGGACATACACTTTGCAGCATACACGTGCGTATCTAGCCATGTCCAGACACAGTGCATATTCTATTTGGTGCTGGTCCTTAAGGTCTCTGAATAGGGTGTGAAAATGGCATATTTGCTGTTCTATGAGCCCTAATGCAAGCCTGGTTATAAGCCCCATAATGAAATGACAGGTTTTCTTCCTTTGATGGTATGCTCATGGTTGGTTTATAAGGAGTGAAGCTGCTGAGCGAAGACGCATCATAGCAACAAGCACTCACTGAAACATCTCATTGTTTATATGGTACGGTGACCAGATGTCCTCTTTTTCCCGGACATATCCTACTTTTCATACCTAAAAAAATGTCCGGGCGGAAATTTCAAAACCTACCGGGATTTTGGTCGACTACAGTGCAACCCAAACCCCGCCCCACATCCCACATATGTGTGAATATGTGTAAATGTGAATTCCAACATATTTTTTTCATTTTGGTCACAAAAAGGTTTGTGCTGAACTAAAGCACAACAAAAGAAATATACTATGTATGATGGTGCTTTGAAATTACCACAGACATAAACAAAAACAGTCAGAAAATACAACAGGCATGTGCAAACAACCTGTAAGAGATTAAAAAAGGTTGACATAATAATAAAGAGGCACATGCAGGTTAAAGGGACAGATTTAAGAACATATGGAAACATACATTTGTCTCGATCCAAAGCGGCAGAGCTTTACAGAAACACCTACCCTGGTGGTGGAAGGGGCCTTTCTTTCCAGATTCCAGATCACGGCAACACATGATCATAACATCAATATCTTCATCTTGATGTTAAGCCACTGTCTGCATATAAATGACGTTGTTGCAACTTCATCCTCTTGCCCGAAATTTGAACATTAAATGTAACATGAAGGGCTTTTAGCTTAAAGGTAAACTTCACTTTAATCATTATGGCTGATTGTGTTGAAAGGTATAAAAGCAGTAAAGACTTTAGTCATGTATGATAAGCAGTCATGTTCAAGCTTAAAGCTGGTAACATCATCCAAAACTTCATATATTGGTGTGTTTCTTTGTCTCATTCTCTTCTGAGATCAATGACGTGTCTCCAGTTGGGTGAGAAGCAATTTGTTTTAGGAGGTTTTCAGATTGAAGCAGTTCCTCGGTCCAAGCCTGACAGACTTCTTCAATTTCCAAGCCTCTTCCTCCATACTCTGGAGGTAAGACGTCTGGTGAGAAGAAGTCACTTAAAGTGTGGTGGAAGTCTGTGCCATGCATATGGACCTGTAAGAGAGAAGAACTTGAGTTTTTATGTAAACCTCAGGGTGCCTCCAAAGTGGATAGTGGGTAGTGTCTCACCCTCTGCTTGATCTTATCTGCCAGAAAGGGACGAATCATAGCAAAGACTGGACGGAAGAACATTGGTTCATTGACCAGATGAATGCCTCTCACCTTTAGAGGAAAGGAGTCCTTAACAAAGGGATACACAATCACATAAATTATTTACTTAGAACTATTGTTTCATTTGTTTTTATCAGAAACCACAAAACAGGTTTAAAATAGAAGGCAACAAGACTTTTGTTCTTTGCCAGTTCTGTCAGCTCACACCAAGTTTTGGCTCTGCTGCAAGCTGACAGGATGACAAAGACTCCTGGACAGGTGCTGAAATTTATTCAGAAAAGGCGATTGAACGAAGATCTTGTTGCTTTCCAGTTTCAACCCGTTTTGTGGTTGTCATGACCCGGATAACTGAAGATTTACACAGGCAAGCAGAAAGGTCAGTGTTGGTCATTTCAGTTGCATGTCATGTTCATACCGAAAGCACAGAGGATATCTTTCTGGCGAGGGAGGGGTTTATCTGCAAGGCATGGCCTAGACTCCACCCTTTCAGGTCAAATATCACCTTTATACCTCGCCTCTGTGTTTCTGTCTCCCTGGAAATGATTTCCGATGTCATCAGACTGACTCTGAACACCTGGAAGGCTGACCAGTCTTTTGGGTTCCATTGCCCTGCAAAAAGAACATATTTTGAATATGAATTGAAACCAAAGGTTGACATAAATGGTCAGCATTTCGTGACATGGCAACTCAAAGGAACTAAACCAAACACAAATGCGCTCCTATTAAACAAATACCAGCACTATTTTTAAGAATACAGGTTCTTCTCAAAATATTAGCATATTGTGATGAATTCCATTATTTTTCATAATGTAATGATAAAACTGGAACATTCATATATTTTAGATGCATTGCACACTAACTGAAATATTTCAGGTCTTTCATTGTCTTAATACGGATGATTTTGGCATACATGAAAACCCAAAATTCCTATCTCACAAAATTAGCATATTTCATCCGACCAATAAAAGAAAAGTGTTCTTAATACAAAAAAGTCAAACTTCAAATAATTATGTACAATTATGCACTCAATACTTGGACTGGAATCCTTTTGCAGAAATGACTGCTTCAATGCGGCGTGGCATGGAGGCAATCAGCCTGTGGCGCTGCTGAGGTGTTATGGAGGCCCAGGATGCTTCAGTAGCGGCCTTAACCTCTTACACCCTCAGGGGGAATAAATACATTTCTACCTGACAAAAACACACAAAAGTAAATCACTTATAGCCTCACAGCTATTAGATTTAAGAAGAAACCTTTGGTACCTCTGTAAAGGTAAGATGTAATAGAATGGTTTTCTGGTGTCAGCACCATTGTAGCTTTGACCCTGCCTGAAATATTAAGGACAAAATACAAAATATTTTGCATTTTTTGAACCTCGCCAAAATTTTCTTTGAAATAAACATTGCAAAACACTACCAAAATATTATTTATAGCACAAAAAAGTAGTACAGACTTTTAAATCTAAATGTTGTGTAAAAATATACCAAATTTGGACTCAATCAGATGAATCATATTTATTTTAGAATGGTATTAGTGAGAAATTTCTTAGGCGGAGAGGCCATTTTGGCACATTTATCCAAAAATGTCACCAAACTGTGCCAAATGTGTTTTTTACATCAATACTGGGGGTTTGTTAAAATTACGAGGTCACGTAGCAGCTGGACCCACCGGTGGGTCCGTAGGGTTCTAGGGGTTAAGCTCATCCAGAGTGTTGGGTCTTGCGTTTCTTAACTTTCTCTTCACAATTCAGGTCAGGAGAGTTGGCTTGCCAATTGAGCACAGTGATACCATGGTCAGTAAACCATTAACCAGTGGTTTTGGCACTGTAAGCAGGGGCCAGGTCATGATGAAAAATGAAATCTTCATCTCCATAAAGCTTTTCAGCAGATGGAAGCATGAAGTGCTCCAAAATCTCCTGATAGCTAGCTGCATTGACCCTGCCCTTGATAAAACACAGTGGACCAACACCAGCTGGACTTCTGGCATTTTGGCATTTCCTTCTCCCCAGTCTTCCTCCAGACTCTGGCACCTTGATTTCCAAATGACATGCAAAACTGAGCAACAGTCCAGTGCTGCTTCTCTGTAGCCTAGGTCAAGCATCTCTGCCGCTGTTTCTGGTTCAAAAGTGGCTTGACCTGGGGAATGCGGCACCTGTAGCCCATTGGAATTGGCCCTTCTCCACAATCTTCCTCAGGGTCTGGTCACCTCTTCTCATTGTGCAGCATTTTCTGCCACACTTTTTCCTTCCCACAGACTTCCCACTGCGGTGCCTTGATACAGCGCTCTGGGAACACCCTAATCGTTCAGAAATATCTTTCTGTCTCATACCCTCTTGCTTGAGGGTGTCAGTGATGGCCTTCTGGACAGCAGCCAGGTCTGCAGTCTTACCCATGATTGGGGTTTTGAGTGATGAACCTAGGCTGGGAGTTTTAAAGGCCTCAGGAATCTTTTGCAGGTGTTTAGAGTTCATTTGTTGATTCAGATGATTAGGTGCATAGCTTGTTTACAGACATTTGTCATGATATGTTAATTTTGTGAGATAGGAATTTTGGGTTTAGGTGTGAGTGTGTGTGAATGGTTGTTTGTCCTGGACTGGTGACCTGTCCAAGGAGTACCCTCTCACCCATTGACTGCTGGAGATAGGCACCAGCACCCCACGCGACCCCACTCGGGAAAATTGTGTCAGATAATGGATGGATGGATGGATGGATGGATGGATGGATGGATGGATGGATGGATGGATGGATGGATGGATGGATGGATGGATGGATGGATGGATGGATGGGTGGATGGAAGGATGGATGGAATTTTGGGTTTTCATGAGCTGTATGCCAAACTCATCCATATTAAGACAATAAAAGACCTGAAATATTTCAGTTAGTGTGCAATGAATCTAAAATATATGACTGTTTAAGTTTTATCATTACTTTATGGAAAATAATTAACTTTATCATAATAAACTAATATTTTGAGAAGAACCTGAATACCTACTGAGAAAACAAAGCAACACTGAATGGTTCCGGCTGAGATGTGGGTTGGCACTTGCTTCACTAGGTAGCCTGAAACAAACAAACATTGCTAGACTGTTCCTATATCAGCAGGTAGAGGGGACTCTGGAAGTTGGTAACAAATACTACATCCTCTTAATGATTTCCTCTTTGGAGACAGGGTATGCTTTAACTTGCCATCTGAGATTCTTTAGTATCACACCGCTCCCACAAATGTTTATTTAGGAGAAGAGGACCTGCCTAGTAGAGGACAAATCTCAACCTGGCACAGGCAGCCTAGGAGACATTAACTCGATCCAAATACCTAAAATCGCTAAGGAGCAATGGCCTAAGTGTGTGGGTTGTTGCCATAATTAGTGCTATCCAGTTAGCAATAAGAAAGTAGCTAGAACCAGGAAGCAGGATGCTACCCAGCACCAATTCATTTAGCATAGATGTTGACCCTGATGTTCCCAACTAGTGCTTGGAGCTATACCATTACCCACAATCCTTTGTGTGACATTTTTGCACACCTATGTCAAGAAGTTGGACTCAAATACAACATTTTGTGATGCGGACTCTGTACAACACATGCTAACATACATCTTCCTACGTCTAAGCGTTTACGTCTTCATATGTCTTCATCCCTTAAAGGGGAACGCAGTTTTTTTTTTACATTGGGCCCTTGATTTTACGTTATTACACCATGTTCTACTCACCCATATGAGTTTTGTGTCATTTGGAGCTGTTCTGAAGATATTCCGTTAGGTTATATCCAAGTAACGTCTTCCTATGGGCAACGCATTGAAGGCACAAACTAAACTGTTCATAATTTATTCTTTATGGTACGCCAGCATTCAGAACATGGAGGTGAATCACTGTCCCCCAGACATTTGTGGTTATATTTTTTATATTCTTATATATTTTTTAAACAAAGCAGGGCATGTATGACTTCATCCGCGCGCGCCGGCTACCGTTCATTCATCCTGTCCGCTGAACTGCTGCTAGTTTTGCTCACATGCCTGGAAGATGTCTAGAGCTACTACCACAGATGATCTCGCTCTCCAAATGGAATTGAACGATTCAGATTAAGCAGTGGGTAGCACTGCTGCCTTGCAGCAGTGCACTGCTGCTACCCACTGCTGCATGGAGTTTGCATGTTGTCCCTGAGCATGCGTGGGTTCTCTCTGGGTACTCCGGCTTCCTCCCACAGTCCAAAACATGACTGTTAGGTTAATTGGCTTCTCTAGATTCTCCTTAGGTGTGGGTGTGTGTGAATGGTTGTATGTCCTGTTTGTCTCTGGCGACCTGTCCAGGGTGTACCCCTCTTGCCCGTTGACAGCTGGAGATAGGCACCAGCACCCCTCGCGACCCCAATTGGGACAAGTGTGTCGGATGAATAGATGGAATTTTGGGTTTTCATGAGCTGGAAGTTTTAATTACTGTTTTTGATTTGGTTACAAACTACTGTAGACTTCAGTTGATGTAAGTCTGCCAGTCTAATGCTGATACGTAATGAAAGGATGGTCTTGATTGGCTTTGAACAATCCTAATGTGGCCTTGGTTCCTTTTGCCAGTTTCCCTTGAATCTTGCTCTTGCATTGGACACAAGGTTTCTATAACAAGATGCCTTTTAATGTTTGTATCCAACACTTACAGCCCAAATAATATAGCATAGCATCATTCATGTTGCTTTTTCCTTACAGCATGGATTGAGAAAAGACATAAAACAGGCAGCTGGCAGATTTCAGCTAGAGTAGAAATTATCCTTGCAGCTACTTCAAAAGAAACACAATGGGGACTATTCGTTGTGCAACCACTAAATAGATTTTTTAAAGAGCTAAATGAATGTTGAGCCATGAACCATGATATTCATTTACGACATGGAGCATGTCCATGCAGATATTAACCTTGATCACTGATGTAGGAGGATGCAGGCTTGCTCTGCTGCTAGACTCTCTTCTCCAATTTCTAGAAACTCCTCTCTAAAATGACTCTTTCACACTGGCAGAAAAACAGGGTTAACCCCGGAAACAAATGTCAACATAATCGTAACGGGCCTTAAAAAACCTGTATCTGTCGATGTTGACAGATGTTAGACAAACACATCACACACATAGCTATACAAACCAATTCTGTAGATGAGTACCCTGCTTCCAGCAGGATCCCGGTGTGGGAGAACAGCATGGTAGGATGCTTTAAGGAGGCCAGACACTGATAAAGGACACAGGCATGTGCTGATCTCTGGACTCACTCTCCTCCACTGCAGGTAGTTCAGCAACAGCTGGAAACAAAAGTCATAGAGTTCTTAGAGAAACACATAAAAATGTTCCACATTATAGGCCTGGTTTACAAGTTTGCTCAAATAACAACCTACAAAATGAATAGCAAAAGCAAAGGTGATCTGCTGAATAGGTTTAAATTGCTTTGGGTCTTTGACATGAGTGTAATAGCAGGCCCAGTCTTCTGTAAATGGGCTGATCGGTAAAACAAACAAAAAAAAGATGGAGGAGGATATGCAAATGTACCTCCTTAGAACCCTCCATAGACCAGAAGTCAGCAGAAATCCAGCAGCTATATATTTGGGCTGCTGGGTCACATAAGGACAACTTTCCAGCTTAATTAATTCTCTATTGTCCCAGTCAACAGCATTTGTTTGGTCAACCTCTCTCTGCTTGTTCTCATCACAGTAGCTTCATCTGCTGTGTTCCTATTTGGCTGTGACTTTATTATGGAGAGAAAAATCAGCTGTGCTGCTGCCATGAACATCTTTGTTTATAGATGTTCAAGCTTGGCCTGTCTTTCAGTGTAGGCCTGTTTCTCTGACTGTGACTAACTGGATGTGCTCTCTTTCATCCTCTGACATGGGATACAGGGCTCGACTGCCTGGCTGCGTGTTTTCACCTGTGGAGCTAATTGACAGTTGCCTTTTGTATCTCTGCTTCTTTTTCTGTCTGCTTTTGCCTCCTTGAACCCCAGTCGGCCTCAGCAGATGGCGGCTCACACTGAGTCAACTTTGCAGAGGACCTCTCACCTTGCAGAGCTTTTTTTTTATTTTTTTCAGTGTCCATGGACATGAAACACCACTTGTTTAATATGGAAGTTATTTCCGCCTGCACGCTGCTGCGCCTCAGAACTTCCCTACCGGTTCTTTACCTGGGAGCAAGTTATTTACTACTCTTAACTCAAACTGGGTAAAACCATATAAAAAAGGACTATAAAACAGGAGTGAAAAAGTAACAGCATTTATTCCAGATCAGGTCGTTACAGGACAGAGAAATGGCTTGGAGTCGGCACAGCTGTGGGCTCAAAAAACGTCAGCAAGCGTCCGGCAAAGATTGAGCAAAGATTGAGCCACAAACAAGGTCATCTCCTCCTTCTTATACCTCATGAGTCCATGTTTTGCATCAGGTGGATGCTTAACTGTCCGTATCAGAAACTGACACACCATCCATGCCTTCATGCACGTTGCTTCTTTACCCCAGGATTACACATTGCTCTCCTTTATCAGTCCGGCTCCAAGATTTGCCCATATCCTGTGTATTTTTAAAGACACGAAAGCTGTCCTGATTAGATGGCCTCCATACACACAGTGTCATACACCATGTGAAGGAAGGCCTTCTATTCTGTCTAATCTGGCTAACAAAGTAACAATGCACATGATGTATAAAGAATAAACCTAACAGAGCTTTGTTGCTGGCCAACATGTGTGCCAGCTTTGCACACGGTGCACTCAGTCTCTCAGTTGACGCGACTGGGATGGTACATGCAAAAACTTTTTTTTGCAGTTTATCCTTGAAGCTACACTTTCATTTCCGCTTCTTCTGTCCGATGCTGGTTGCTGAACTTGTCACTAGCAAATCCGTCCCCGAAGCATGATCCTTACCATCATCTTATTTTTACATGTTCAAGCAGATATACATCAGGGTTTCAATAAATAATGTCATTATGGTACCAACATTTTTTTTCTCCAATATATCTTACTAAATGTTCTCGTTTTTAATACAACAAAGATTACAAACTTAACCTTGTAACATGTTTTTTATACACACATTCACTCATTCATTCACCATTCAAACCTGCACCTGTCTAGTTCCAAAAATATACAATGCCCTTTAGATTAAAGCTGCAGTCTGTAACATTGAGGAGAGAGCAGACTTCGACTGAAAATTTGAAGAAAAACAGGTTTCACGCCACTCCCCCACCCTCTCTGCTTCACTCATGCCCCACCTCCAAGCTCCACCCCTCTCACAGCATCTGCGTGGCTACCGCATGCGACCAGAAGGGGGGGGGGGGGGGGGGGGGATTCAGCGTGTGTGAGCTGTGATTGACACTCCATCAGACGCTCCTCTGGCTGTGATTGGTTGTTTTCACTCGTCCCGAATTATTCTTTCCAGATTGAAATACAGGCAGTAGGCGGTACCAATTGAAGCAGTTTTTTTCACAGGTTACATATCACATGTACTGCTGTCTGGGCATAGGGACAGTTTTAGCCAATATGACAAAAAAGTGATTTTTAAAAACTTACAGACTTCAGCTTTAAGGCAGAGACAGAAAAAGAAAAAAGGGAGTAAACTGCCATCAGTGAGCTCCAGTTTCAGTCTCTGTAATCCTCATATATTGGCTCCCATAGAACCCATAGATTCTCAAAGCTCCTTTGTTTGCCCTTTGCGATGTGTGTTAGTTTTTCCAGTCCAAGCGAGCTTGCAACCTCCTTCTCCAGAGTCCCATGGAGGGGGCTTCCATGCTCCTCCAGCATAGTGCAACAGATCTTCCGGCTTGAAGAAGTCCATAGTCTATCAATGTAGTTATCTTCTGTGATTGTTTAAATTCTATTGGATATATTCCTACATATTTTAACCTCTAATGGGAATTTTACTTTAAGCAATTCAGATAGACACCTAATAACATCCTTCCAAAACTTCTGGACTTTAGGACATTCCCACAAATAATGGATAAGAGTTCCTTTTTCAGATAAACATTTAGTGCAAGTATCTGGAAAATCACTGGACATATGATGAAGCATAACTGGTGTTATATAGGTTCTCATAAGCCATTTATATTGCAGAAGTTTAAATCATGTATTTATCGTTTCTTTTTGTGCTTTTAAACATGCCTGATTCCAGTCTTCTTCATCTATGTCTTCGAAAGCGTCTCTTCTCCAAACGTCTAACTTATCAATTGCTGAATCCTTAGAGAAAAGCATCAACAGGTTGTAGAAAACTGAAAGAAAACCTTTTCCTTTTAAATCCCCAACACACACTTCTTCTATTTTTGTTAGAATGTCAACTATTCATTTCAGTTTTGAAGTCATATAGTTTTTCAATTGCAACTATTTAAAAAAATGTTTTGGGGGTATTAAATACTTTTTACATACCTGATCAAAAGTAAGCAACCTGCCATCATCATATAGATCTTTAATTTTCTGAATGCCTTTGGTTTCCATAGTTTAAATCCTCCATCATTTTTCCCTGGAGTGAACTTTTCAAAACCCCATATAGGGGCAAATTGTGATATCTCTGGAAGGTCGCCTACATGTTTATGTGCTGAATGCCAAATTATAATTGTATTTCTTAAGAAAGGATTCTTTTCGGGGGGGTTTTTGTGTCCTTATATCCGAAGAATATAGAAAGGCGCTTAAGGGAAAATCTGGAGCAGATTGCTGTTCGATGTCTACCCAAGCTGGAGGCGTCCTCAGATTAAAGTAATGAGTAACTGATGTTAGTTGGGCGGCCATATAATACCATCTGAGATTCAAGACTTGAAGTCCACCTCTTTCATAAGGCTGAAAGAGTAGCCTTAAATGGAGCCTTGATTTTCTATTACTACAAATAAATTAGTTAAACAGCTTGTCCAAAGTGTCATAAAATGAATCAGACAGTGGAAGTGTTTGAAAATAGTACAAAAATTGGGGCAGAATAGTCATTTTTGATAAATGTATTCGTCCTATCATGGATATAGGCAGATTTCACCATCGATTTAGCATTTCTGTGACTTTTTCCACAAGGGGATAATAATTAACTGCACTTATTTCATTGAGGGATGGCGTGATCTTAATGCCTAAGTATGTAAAACCTTTTGCAGTCGTTTTAAATGGGGTAACCACACTAGGACTTCTCCTTTCTTCTTCATTAAGAAACATTAAATCTGATTTAGGATTATTACCGTATTTTCACGACCATGAGACGCACCGTACTTAAAGGCGCAGTCTCAGTTATGTGTGCCATTACTGTATTTAACACACACATAAGGCGCACCGGATTATAGGGCGCAGGCTTTATATACCGGTACATGTCCTCTACTACGTTTAAATACCTCTATTGCGTATTTAAAAATAGAGCGGGAGCAAAACTGAGTATGATTGTGCTTTATTCATGTATTTATTACAAAGTATTAATCAAACCTGGGAGCTGGCCGTGAGACAGACACATCGCTGATGACACAGAGTGCTGTGATCACTCCTCTGAAACAGTTTATTGACGCATAAATTAACTTAAAATGCAGAAATCTGCCGGCAGAATATGTTCGCTTTTATCATCCTTGTGCCTGCAGTTTAGATTATTTAGATGAAAAACACCTACCAGCTGCCGCGGTGAACCGCAAGGAGGCGACCCGGCCAGAAGCTGCTGTTGAATGGGATTCCTACTGACAGCGCACCGCTGGTATGTGGGGGTCTGAGCGGCTCCGACAGAAATAATATTAGAAGGCAGGATGGTAATCTGGATGAACTGACTGCAATGATTAAGTTTTCAGGTGGACTTTCTCACTTAAAAACATATTAAAACTACTTTATTCCCACTGATAACAGCAAATATAGCTGCAAGGCAAAAAAAGAATAGAGTAGCTCCGCCCAACGCGCGTCAGACACACTTTTGCACCGCGCAGCCAGAGCAGCAAAGCTGCTTCAGTCGCGCGTCAGAAATAACTGGTACAAGCAGCAAAAATCAAGCAGCAGACGCGATTTTGCTGTTCTTGCTGCATCCGGTGTGAAAGCAGCATTACTTTGAACGGCCGGTTCACACCGATGTCGAGCGGTTGAACTTCCTTAGTCAGACCTCCCGGAATAACAGCAAGCACAGCGTTCATTTGTTTCACCATGTTTTTCACATCGGCTGTGAGATGGGCACGCATGGAGTCACAGATTAACAGCGATGGTGATGTTTGGAAAAAAGCCACCTGGTCTCCTTACATTCACCTGCCTCAGCCACTCTTTCATCATCTCCTCAATGAGGAGATGAGCAGTTCTGCATAAAGCACATACCTGTTCTTTTATACACAATCCATGCCCACACTTCTCCCTTTAACGATCTCATGGTGGTCTCAAAAGTCCGCAGTAACAACACATGTAAGGCGCACCGCACTATAGGGCGCACAGCACATTTTGAGGGAAAAAAAGACGTTTACGTGCGCCTTATAGTCGCGAAAATACGGTAATTTTATATCCTGAAAATTCACCGAATTCTTTTATTAGATCTAATAAATTGGGAATACTGATCTTTAAATTACTGATGAAAAATATGATGTCATCCGCAAACAGGGAAATGACATGATCCCTTCCTCCAATTCTAATACCTGATATTCCTGTATTCGCTCCAACAGCCATCGCCAGAGGTTCTATTGCCAGTACATAAAGAAATGGTGACAGTCCATATTTGGGGAGCACTTTAAACAGATAAGTCCACTCTATACTGTCAAAAGCTTGATGTGCGTCCAATGATAACCTCGCTGTGTCTTTGCAATTATGTTTTTCAGGTAATACATTAAGAACCCGTCTTATATTATGGTAAAATTCTATTGGAAGTCCATCAGGACCTGGCGTTTTACCACTATTCATGCTGCCTATTGCTTCAGATAGATCTTTTATTTTTAAAGGACTATTAAGAGTTGTTTTCTCCTCCTCTGAAATGGTTTTGAATTTTAATTGATTAAGAAATGCGGCTTGAGTTTCTTCATTTCCACAATTTTCAGATTTATACAAGGTTTTGTAGAATTCTCTAAAATGTTAATTTATTTCTGAAGGGTCTGTTGTTAAAACGCCCTATATGGATTTGATGCTGTTAGTTGCTCTTTCTGCTTGCATCTGTTTTATCCTCCAAGCCAATAATTTACTTGCCTTTTCTCCTTGATCATAGAATGCTTGTTTCGTCCACATTAAGCTTTTCTCCACTCTCTCTGTTGTTAATGTCTCATATCTGGTTCTTAAAACATTCAGTTTGTGTAATTTTGTATGATCATTACTCTGATAAATTTCTGTTTCGCTGGATTTAATCTGTTCCTCTAATGATTTTAATTCTTGGTTATATTATTTATTTTTATTGCTGCTATAGCTGATAATTTCTGCTCTGATGTAAGCTTTAAAAGCTTCCCTTCTAATACTAGCTGTTGTTTCATCATTATTCAATTAAAAATATTTGTCAATGCAAGTTTCTATAAATGTAACACATTTTGAGTCTTTTAGCAAAGATGTCTGCATCGTTTCACTCCTTGATCAATCCTATTTACTTTCATTTCCAGGGACACTGCAGCATGGTCACTGAGTACAATACGATCATACCAGCAGTTCTCCACGTGAGGCAATAACTCCACAGAGATAAGAAAATAATCAATAAGCGAATGGGATTGAAGTATGCTTGAGTAACATGAAAATCCCCTGTTGCTTGGGTTCCTTGTTCTCCATATTTCATTAATTCTTAAATGTTCTATATAATTAAGGAGTATTTTCCTGGTTTGTGAATGACGGGTATCACTTTGAGTAGATTTATCCAGACTTGGGTTCAGGGTGCACTTAAAGTCACCTCCTATAATATAAAGTCCCTCCAGGGTTGACAAGGTTAAGAATAAATTTTCATAAAAGGATGGATAATCATTGTTAGGTCCATAAATATTTATCAAATTTAGTTTTAATGTTGAAATATGTCCCTGCACAATTATATATCTCCCATAGGGGTCTTTGATTGGCTTTATAGTTTGAAATGGTTTTGACTTTTGCACAAGAATAATAACTCCTCTGGCATGTCTGGTAAACAACGAGTGATATACCTGATCCTACTGTCTTTTGGTTATACGATGTATTTCTGTCTCAATCAAATGAGATTCTTGTAGAAAAATGATTCTAGATTTCAAATATTTGAATCGGTCTAATACTTGTTTCAATTTAGTTAGCTTTCGTAAATTCCTTTTCCGGGACCTTTAAAAAGTGAATCAGAATTGCTCTGCCTTGGTTTGGTTTCCCAGAGGCCGGTGTGCCGTGTACCTGTTCCAATGTGAATGACTTATCCGGTGCCAGATCCTGCCATTTCGGTAGCATGTTGCTAATTAAGTCGAAAAAGGGATTTTCCTCCCTCTGCTTTATTAGGATGACAATGCACCAATACACACAGTGAGACTGGTGAAAGATTGGTTTGATGAACATGAAAGAGAAGTTGAACATCTCCCATGGCCTGCACTGTCACCAGATCTAAATATAACTGAGCCACTTTGGGGTGTTTTGGAGCGAGTCAGGAAACATTTTCCTCCACCAGCATCACGTCGTGACCTGGCCACTATCCTGCAAGAAGAATGGCTTAAAATCCCTCTGACCGCTGTGTGTGTATATGTCATTCCCAAGACGAATTGATGCTGTATTGGCCGCAAAAGGAGGCCCTACATCATACCAATAAATTATTGGGGCCTAAAACCAGGCGTTTCATTTTCATTGTCCAACCCCTGTATATCCATATCTATATCTCTCCCTCTCTCTCTGTCTCTTGCTCTATGTGTGTATACACAAATTCACTAAAGAAAGCTCATTTTAAACACATACCATTTAATTTCTCCTTGGTTTGTAGATAAGCTTGGCACATGCTTTCTACTTTGGCTGCATTTTTTATACACACATATAAACACTTGGAAGTCCTGTCTGTTTTAGTTATTTTCTATTTCTTTTTTTTTTGTGTCAAATCAATACATTTAAAACATTATGCACTTAAATGACTGACCTGAAACTACCAACCATACATTAGGATAATATTAATGTTGCATATATCAGAAAAAAATCAACTGATCAAATGCTGTCTCTAGTGTCAATTTATTTCAAACTGTATCCTTTAATAAAATGCAACTCTAGGGAATCTTAAAAGGAAATGTTCTGCATTCAGGTACAGCACATTGCTATATACTTTGTATAACAATCAAAACAAACAAAACATTTCTAACAAAGCTGGACAGTCTTGAAAAGGGACCTAGATCTTTTAAGTTTTTAATAATAAAATGTTACATTGTTATTATTTCCTTATTAAAGAAATGAAATTGCAGCAAACTGTAACTGCAGTAAAACCCAACACAGATCTTGTAAAAAAAAAAAAAAAAACAGATAAACATTTCTAAATAAATGAAAATAGGAAAAGCTTCTTGTGTTCTGTGTTAAAGTTAGACTATGTGTGTCACAACTGCAGAGCTCTGATCCACTTGGCTGAGCTTTAGTCTCTGAGGCTCGCTTGTTTGGGTTTATTCTCTGTTCACGCTTAGAAACATTCTGTCTCTAAACATAAGTGCCAAAACAAACAGTAAAGGCTTGTCTTTAAAGAAAATATAACAAGAAGACAATAAAGTCAAATAAATCCAGATTTCATGCTTTTAAGAGAGGCTGTTTGTTTTTGCCTTCTATGTTTGACAAGATTTTATTAATTAGTTCAGAAAAGTTTTTAGTATAAAATACCAACCCAAAGAAATGTAAGACTGTTTGGCATCTTTGTTGAACCGCAGACATTATTCATGGACTCAGTCCTCATTGTTCATTATCTATTTTTTATGTGAATCTGATTTGCTGTTTTAGGGCAACTTACTATATCGTTTCTGCTGTTCTCACCTATGGTAACTTTCAAGAAATCTTTTTCTCCAGAGATCTTATTTAAAAAATTTTCTTGCACTTGAATTATTAGATTTGAATCTTTTCTCTATTTTATTTATTTTTTTACTTTTTTCTTCAAAATAGCAGACAAAGTAAGATTTATTTTCTCTATATTGTGATTAAAAATAAGATTAGACAGTTATCCTTTGATCAAGAAATCTTTAAACCAAATGTTTTTCTTTACTTTTACATGATTCAGTTTTAGGATAACTTCTGTTAAGCATGTAAAACGATGCCTAGACCACAGATTCCCCCTGGGGGGCTGCAAAATGATTTGATAGTCATGTTGATGTAATCCCTAAAGTAAATAGAGGGCTGAAAAATATGAAATACATAAATGGAAATGTCCCATGAAATAAGTAGAAAGAAAATAGCAACAGCAGATTATAGGGGATTATAGAGCTAAGCTGAGTCAAAAAGAACAAGTAACTAAAGGCTTCCTGGAAATGTAATGTAATAATATAGAATATTTGACTTTGAAAGGTAGTGAAAGGTATAAGTTATAAAAAATAAAAAAAACATAGAACACAAAAAATAATCAAGTAAAGTAATGCTACTAAAAAAATAAACACAAAAGTGCAGTAATCTTGTAGATGTACTGTTTTCCTTTCACATGTTGGTGACATAGAGGTGCTTTACCTTGAGGGAGAGCTGCAGGTCGAAGTCCCTGGCGCGCAGGAACCTGATGAGGAAGCAGTCGGAGAAGCTTCCCACAGAGGACCGGTCATCGGCCTCCTCTGCTGCCCGCCTCAGGCTCACCACGTACGGCCTCAGCTGCTCGGAGTCATCCGGAAGCTCATTGAGCTGTGATCCGTTCATTTCGCGCTCAGGATGGGATCCTGCTGCTGCTGCTTCTCCCCTAAATGTGCCAAAGTCCGGACAGGGGCGGCATCAGGGGAGGGGTGCGGGGCGGGATTGTATGGCACCATGTTTTTTTAAGGAATACATGTTTTGGTTTCATGTCATCATCACACTCTGACATCTTTGCTCTTTTTGCTGAAGTCCTCACAGGCAGAAATGACTTTAAGGAGTTTTTTTTTCATGGTTGATGATCATCAGTCCTATGCAAGAGGATTAGGGCCACTGGAAAAAAAAAAAAAGGTTAGCTGATTTTTACATTTTATTTCAGTTTAGTATGGGAGAAAAGTCACAAGTCTGACTTTTTTTCTTGTAATCCCGACTTTAATCTCAGAATTCTTACTTTAATCTCAAAATTCTGAATTTTTCTTAATGTCAGAATTCTGAGATTAAAGTCAGAATTAGTCAGAATTCTGACTTTTTCCCATACTAAACTGAAATAAAATAAAATAAAAATTTTTCCAGTGGCCCTAATCCTCTTCCTTATCAGTCAGCTGAAAACCTGCATCTTACACACAGAGAACTAGGCCTGCTATTAAAATGCTACATCATGTTTTCTTTTATCCTTTTTTAAATAAATGATAGTGTTATAAAGTTTAGCCACAAAACAAAAATGACGGGACTTGTTTTGCTTTTTGTTTTTCTTTCAGATTTTGGAGAAACAACCATCTGAATATCACTTTTAATAATAATAAAAAAAAATTTGTCACATCTCAATTATTGTGAGGATTTATCTTCATCGTGATATTAAGGTATAATGGGTATCACTGTTTTAATTTATTGTGTATCACAACAAAACAACAACCAAGTTTGGTGAATCTGGAAAGAGGCCAAATTTAAATGCACTTCCGATCAACATCTCAATTGCAGGACTTAATCATTTGAGTGCGCTGATTTTTGGTTAGTATAAAGGTTTGTGTCTCTCAAACGCTTCCAGAACATAGCTCAGCACCGCCCCCTGCTGGATAATTGTGAACAGTGACCATCAACCATTTAATTTACATCTTTGTGAAGGAAATCAGTAGCTATATGTACACAGAGGTGGGTGTAAGCTAATTATATTTAACTGAGCACATTTCTGAAAAGAAAAAAAACTTTCTGAGAATTTAAACTCCTGTAGTTTTACTCCTTTAACGAGTAAATTTTCTGGTTAGAAATCGAGCTAATCAGATATCAGGTGAAAATAGGACACAGTAAACTGTAGATATTGTCGCTTTAAGTTCTTTATCTTTTCCTGACATTTAGTTTTATTTTCTATTTAATTCAATTTAATTCAGTTTATTTATATAGCAACAATTCACAACACATGTCATCTCAAGGCATTTTACAGTTCACCAGATAATTGTCAAAAGTGATTGAAAGTTTTGTATCTAAGGAAAACCAGCTGATTGCATCAACTCATTGACTCAAAGGCAATTCCTCACACTAAGCATGCTTGTAGCGACAGTGGAGAGCAAAAACTCCCTTTGAGCAGGAAGAAACCTCCAGGAGAACCAGGCTCAGTGTGAGCAGCCATCTAATGAGGCTGATTGGGGTTCAAGGGCACTGAAACAGAGATACAGGAAAAAGCAGAGATACAAAAGGCAACTTGTACACCAACTCCACAGGCAGCTCCGTCCAGGAAACACACAGCCAGGCAGACGAGCTTTGAGCCAGCTCCCATGTCAGAGGATGAAGAGAGCACATCCAGCCAGTCACAGTCAGAGAAACAGGACCACACTGAAAAACAGGCCGATCTCCAACATCTACAAACAAAGGTGTTGATGGCAGCAGCACAGCTGATATTTCTCTCCAGGATGGTGTCACAGCCACACAGGAACAGACCAGATTAAGCTACTATGAGAAAAGCAGAGAGAGCAGAACGTTAGAGATTGAACTAACAGATTTCACAGAGTGGGAGAGTAGATATAGAATGATGCAGAATGATTTAAAAGTTTAGACGAACATTAGACGATAATAAAAAATATCCGGAGAAACAAATGAAAAAAAAAAAGTTTTGTTCAGCAGGGGAGGGGACATTGGTTATTTAATAACACATCTTTGCTGTACAAAACTAAAAAGTTTCTCTCTGAATAATTATAATCACATAGGTTATCAACAATATCCATAACAATAAAAAACAATAGTGATTAAAGGACTACTAATTGTAATAATAATAATGATAGCCCTTATCTCTATGACTTAAAACATTTAGGATATTTAGCGGTATTAATTGTTTGCCAGCTTTATGCATGATCTGTTCTGTATGATAACAAACCTTAAGTTTAAGTCATTTAAATGATTGAGATATCCACCTTTGTTTGATATGGATACTTTTCTGCAACACTCATCATGACTTTAATGCATTTTGGTAATTAGTTGTAATCTAACAGCTGCTTTATTCTTTTCATTTTTGCCATTTTGTTTTGGATGTATCTAATTTGGGACTTCCATAGATTTTTCTGTCTATCACACCCAGTACTTTGATTGCCTTTATATTTTCAGTTATACTAATACATTTTTATATGTTCATTTATCCTTCGTTTTCTCTACATTCAATGATCATTTATTAGTATTCATCCAGCTTTAATTGTACTTAACTCATGATTTATAGTTGTAGTTACTTCATTAAAATCATTTCCAGAATAATAGTTTCATCAACATATAAGATCCCTTTGATCATTTAAAGACTTGAAATGTATCTACATATCAAATAATCTGACACGTATCCCTGAGGGACCCTAAAGCAATCTCCATACATGATCACCCAGTTTGACTGAATGTTTTCGCTCAGATAGGTAACTGTTAATCCAGCGCCTCTCCCCTGATGCTGTACTGCTGTAGCTTGTTAATTAGTGTTGAGTGGTTTATTGTATCAAATAATTTCTTAAAAACTATGAATCACCAGCTGCACATTTCCTTGATTAAGTGTCTTTTTATTTCCTATGTTGCTTCCATCATTGCAAAGAAGGTTGTTGGCCTACTAGGTTTACTAGTGGTTCCTAGAATTTCTAAAAATAAGTTTAGTTATCAGGCTCCTCTCCTGTGGAATCAACTACCAGTTTTAGTCCGTGAGGCAGACACCCTGTCTACTTTAAGGCAAGGCTTAAAACTTTCCTTTTGATAAAGCTTATAGTTAGAGATAGCTCAGGTTATTCTGAGCTATCTCTATAGTTATTCTTCTATAGGCTTAGACTGCTGGAGGACCCCTTTTCATAATTCGGCTTCATTCTATCTCTATTCTCTGATTCTGCTCGCTCATTCTATTTGTTAGTTCAATCTCTAACTTTATGATCTCTCTGCTTTTTCTCATCATAGTAGCTTCATCTGATCTATTCCTGTTTGGCTGTCACACCATACCGCATAGAAATATTAGCTGGTATTTTTGATTTCATTCACCTTATTAGCTACCAGATTCATATCAATATAAGTTTTTTCTTCTAGACCTTATTATTCCAGTTAACTCATTTATATAGCTTTGGTATCTGGTTTCTGAATCACTGGTTCTTGATTTAATACATTTTCCATGAAGAACATTTTTCTTTAGTTCCCTGGCTAACCATGGATGATTTTTATATTTATATATACTTAATCTTTCTGTTTGAACAATTTTTATTGTATATTAGTTTAAATATATATCAACTGAATGACTATATGCAAGGTTTCACATCTTTCTCTCTATAAACACCATTTTCATGTCTTGTAATGTTTTTCAAATTAAGCAGATGTGTCTTTAGGTCATAATCTGTTAATGATTAATTCCATTACTACCATTGTCTAATGTATCAGACATCATTCCAAAGATCATGAAAAAACGCCCGACCTTGGAAAAACTCATCATACAAGCTGAAGCCTTGGGCGACGCAGCCCTGAGAAAATCAGAAATATTGAAAGAGAATTACATTTGTCTGCTGAATTTAGTTGATGGTCTTAATGTCAAGGTGTTTCTCAGCGGCCCTCACGTGCCCATTAATTGTGGAGATGAAATGTCTTCCAGAGTTCTGATGTTAAACAAATGGCTGAACACAACATGCAAACAAACAGCTGTAACGTTCATAGACAACTTTAACATCTTTGGGGAGAGGAGTCATCTGTTCAACAGAGATGGTTTCTCTCTAAATAGGTCATATAAAACATTTTCTATTCTGTGAACCATGCACCATCAGCTTTGTTCCAAAACAAAGTACAACCAGTGCCTAAACAAAGGATAAGCCCAGTACAGCCCGAACAAGCCAAGATAAAGATGTCCAGAAAGAGGACACAGAAAGAGCCTACGTCAGAACTACAGGAGGATTCATCCCAGATCTCAGCAGGACAAAAAGAGGACTCCCCTTTAAATTCCAAAGAGAACCAAAAACCTCCATCCCAACAGACACCAGTCCAGATTGCACCCACCTCCCTCTCTTCTCCACAAAGCCCAGATGTTCCTTTTCTGGAATTTTCTCATAACATGAACAAAGTTTTTAAGATTGGCCTACAGTTGACATCCTCTCCACACAGCCATTCTGAAAGCCGCAGCTATGAGACAAAACCAGCATCTTCTAAAAGCCGCAGAGCCCTAAATCCTCCTTTACATATCACGGAACATGCCGGTGCTCAGGACCTTCAGATAACTTCTCTGTGATACACACCGGGCCCTGGCAACAAGCGTATCAAACATAACAGTTTCCAGCATCAGCTTGGGCCTTCCACTGGAGATTATGGAATATCTGTGATGATACGTGGCAGAAATAAGAAAAACAAAATGGGAACAAACAGGAACAGACACTTAAGAGTCATAAGCTGTCAGATGCAGCCTGCCACAGAGACAACATCAACCACTAAGTCATATAAACTGGCTTTATTAAACATTAGATCTCTGTCAGGAAAATCCCTTTTAATTAATGACTTTATTATTGACAATAATGTTGATGTTATGTTTTTAACAGAAACATGGTTACATGAACTTAATGAGGCACATATTCTGTTAGAGTTGTCTCCTCCAATCTACAATTTTCTTTGCAAGAACAAAGGAAAGGTGGAGGAGT